AATATAGTTCGTTGAAAAATAAAGATGCCTCTACTTCCAGTTACCTTCGATCCCAGCCGTTTGCTCAGGTAGTCGATCTAGATGAATCATCCTGATATTGACAGATGCTTTATCAACATAGCACTGGCATGGTTTTTGGGTTAATTTGGGAAGAGCCATAGATTCTAGTTTCTGTATAACGGATTCTGCTAGAACGCTGGACATAGGCGAACCCACGGGAACATCTCTCCTTTGTCAGTGTACGTGTTTAGCAAAAGAAAATTTGGCTCCTAGACAAATATCCAGCAGTTGGAAAAATGCGTCGACAGCACACCGTTGGTGTAGGTTTGAGGAGTTCTTCGAGGCAGTATCTCATTAAATCTAATGAAATCGAGTTTGAGTGGAACCTCGTCGGCGGCCAAACTCACTCATAATTTGTCTAAAAACTAATTCGAATCATTAGTGTAGTTGTCAGAGTTCTTTGTGAGTAAATATACTTTGGTGAACTATCCACTTGGACCTCTTATAGTTTGGTGCACCAAGTAAGGAGACTGACGTTAAGTTCCCGAAGCAAAGAAGCTTCGAATTGGAGAGAGAGGGGACGAGGCTTGTCCGTTTTAGGAAGCCATTGGGTAAGAGTCCACCCATTCTTGAACGAATAAAGATCCTTGCGGGGACGATATGTTTGGTGCTCGGAGTTCTTTTTAGTAAAAATACTTAGTGACATCCCGAGATAGGTCGGTGTTAATCTGCGCCATGGACGCTGTCTACTCCAAATTGATGCATAAAAGCATACACAGTACATGTGTCAACTCACGAAATCATAACCGAAATTTCGAAATGTGTTTTGGGCTAGAAAGGAGTGCTTAGTTAGGGTTACAATAGTAATAACCGTCAGTCAGAAATTAAATGAAAATGATAGTTCACTAAAAGACGGTTGAAACAGATTTAGATTACAAGTGCCCGAATGTTCATTCAGTTATGGCACTCGCTTACTTGCTATCCACACTTTCTGCAGCAGAATGGCAAAAAACAGGTTCTAGTTGTTAGGAATTCATATATGAACGAAGAAAATGCATTCCATGTGCAACATCCAGCGAACCGATAAAAGCAACCGGCAATCAGGGAAATAGATTAAATATATACCACGCGTTTTAAGCAAGCAAGCAGTGCATTGTCGAAACAGGAAATCCCAGCTCTGATTCAAACGTATGCATTTGGCACGGATGTTTAAGATGGCAGCATTAACATTCGATTCCGTGTACGAACCAGCACCCACTTCGTCTTCTCAAATAAGGAAATACAGTTCAAATGAAGTGGTCTCTTCCATCTGCGCAGAACGTAAATGTGCACAAATATCAGGAAATATCTTTAAAAAAGAACTGCTCCGTGAATCGAGGTCTAACGTTTACCGCCCTCCACAAGTTCAAACTGTCTATCTGAGACGGGGCGTTGGATTAACATTTGAGACAGACAGGTTTATAACGACCGACTCCGCGTTATGTCGGACTGTCAATTTCCGGTTGCGTTTGCCTGTTAGGGCTAACAGGTTGGAAATGCCAGTAAAAGACAGACAGGGATTTTGTTGCGGACAGCCACTATGGCAATGTCGCGCCTCTCGATAGGGCCTGAACGTATGCACCAGCGACAGCCTGTTTAAGCACGAAGTTAAAAATTACATTTATAATATAGTCGAATAGCTTGCAGTCTTTGACCAATCTCGTGGAACGTTCAGGAAAGTTTTGCTGTGTGATTCCCATTCGGATGAAATGTGGTCTAGTTGTTTGAATAATGGTCAGTGTGCCTAACCGCTTCAAGATCTCAGTATTTAAATGAATCTCGTTTTGACGCTGGCACAAACGCCACTCGGTATAGGTGCTTCCCAAATGGTTGTCGCTTGGGTCTAGGTGCTTCAAATCGTTCGAGAATATTCCACCGAAACCACAACCAGAAATACACATTCACTTAATCATTGTGTAGCAACTTGCATTCGTTTTACATTTCTAGTCGACGAAATAGTGGGTTTTGCTCACAAAATCTGCGCTTTTTGCCTAAACGGCCACTCAGCCAGTAATCAATTCCGACGACAGAGATTTCCGCCCTCGAAATATCCTGCAAAATACGGACTTCGTCAGATGTGTTGCAAAGTGACTGTCACTTCTCCCATACTTAGGCACAAAATCGCACGCTCTTCCACAAGGAAAGTACCAATAAAATTTATATAATTGAGGTCAGCGAACAAACCTCCACATGGGGCCAGCTTCCACACAACCAGACATATGGGTAACAGCTCGGCCAACGTTTCTGGCGACATCCACAGTTTGCTGTACAACATGGTTAAGCAGGCACAATGACTTGCGCACAAATTTCTAGCCAGTATAGACTCGCGCTGCATCTAACGCACTCACCTCCTCCCGCACCTGCGCATGGGGTTTTCACAACAATTGACCAGGATTTGGACCTACAATTACGCTAGGACGGATCAGAGGACGAGACCTGGGCTACATCTCCTTCCCACCTCCGCTCCGCATGGTGGGCGCAGGTGGATGGCGCGGCCGGGACTGCACCCTGGCGTTTCATTCAACACTCCCTGGTAGCCACAACAAATGATCATGATTTTAACCAACAGTAACATCTGGACGGGTCAGAATACGAGCATGGTCGGCAGCCATGTTCACAGCCTGTATATTAGAGAGATCTCAAGCGCATCTACCGGCAGGGAACCAGGTGTCAGAGAACTGCCAGTGCATACCGGACTGTGAGGGTCATGGTTTATTGATCCTAGCACAGCATACGCTTACAGACCTCTGACCCAGACATATAGGTAACGATCAGTAGGCGAGATGAGGACGTGCACATGCGTCATCTGACAACGATTATGCAGGTATTCTGCTTACCTTTTCGACGACAAACGACGCACTCACAACTTCATACACGTGACAAGACTAATTTCCATACATTTCCAGCCATGCTCACTGCACAACGTAATCTAGGGTAGTAGAGGGGTGCTCGTCGATCGCGTCGCGGTTGATTTCGCGAGCAAAAAAATAAATAATTTAGTCACCTTTGTCTTTTCCGATAATGTTGTTCTGCAATACTAGTCTTTCCTCAAGTATTACAAGTGAACATGCCACCAGTTTCTGCAAAACGAGAAAACGAAAGCATATTTTGTGCAAATTTCCTAGGAAATATAGTTGATTTTATAAACTACCGAAAATCTGTGTAAAAAACATGCTACATAGGTAATCCTTTGAACAAAGATGGTTTCTAAAGGAGGTCTAAAAGAAGGCCATTCAACAGCAGATACAGTGGTGTGTCCGAAATATTATGGGATTATGCGGCATGATAATAAACGCTCCAATTTCACCTAGGTAATCTTTTCTAATTAAGAACGCATTTCCAAATTTTGGCCAGCATCTCATGAGATCGGTCGCCTACTGTTTTTACTTCATATCGTTCGACGAATCCCTCTCCAGATGTGTCTAACTGACGCCTTGCCAGAAGTGGCAGTGATGTCTCCTCTTCAAAATACATAAATAACACGCCTAACCAAAATACCTCAGAATTTCCACGAACTTTTAGGAATAGCGGTCATTCATCGTAGCCTTTGGTGGGAAATCATATTCGCAGGTATTGCTAGGGAGCTTGCTTCAGTTTATCCCTACTAAATGCAATTGTACCACTATAATTGAGAACGACCGAGACAATCTGGGGAGGGAACACTGAAGACGCACTTGGTCGGGTTGAGGACAAAAACCAACCTGTTGAGAATGGCACAGACGGGAGAAGTATCTAACAGTTCATTGCATATAGGATAAACTGAGTGATGAAACCGCTTTCAGGCGGCACGCATATTAAATGGTCTGCTCATATGTCCTCTGAAAATCCGGGGTTAGAGTTTGACCGAATGACAAAGACTAACCGCTTTTTGCCCTAGTATACTTTACTTGGTAGACCCTATTGCCAGAGAAGTGATAATAACGGTTTACCGCTGCATGGCTAAAGTTGATTTTAAATGCCCAACTACTGGTGTGAATGCGATTTTGTGGTCTCTTCCAAAATTATTAATCGATAAATAATTAAATTGGAAAGATTTGAATTTTAGTCGAATCACTGTGTTTGGCAACTCAACTGCAACGTAGCCTGTCACTTCCTTAAAGGTGACACTGGGTGTTTTATGTATACTGACGACTGTCGCATAAACTAAAAACTTAGTAAATTCCCATCGAAGCCTAAATGGCGTAAATAAATGTCCGCCATCAATACTCACGCTATAGAATGCCCTCCGAGCTTTATATTTCAAACCACAGGCTTTATACTCTTATCGTGTTCTTTGAAATTACGTTTACGTCAAAAAAACGGATAGACCAGATACGATGCACCGGAACTGCATATTTCTGCAAGCTTCCAAAATGACGAGAGAACACCGATACCAACTATGTGCCAGTACATATGAAACCAGTTTTATGTCCCCTATTTCAGTTCAATAGGTCCCTAGGAGACTCCCAATGTTATTTCCCTATTCCCCTTTTATTTGAAATCAAGCTGAAATAACATACCCTGGGTAAATTCGGGTACATCAGCAGATTTGTTAGTTATATCACATACGATACACTTCAGTTTGTCCCTACTAAATGCAATTAAACCACTATAATTGAGAACGACCGAGACAATCTGGGGAGGGAACACTGAAGACGCACTTGGTCGGGTTGAGGACAAAAACCAACCTGTTGAGAATGGCACAGACGCGTATAATAGGATGTTCGTTGGATTATGTTTCCCATTTAATTAGTTTACACTACCTTTGGCCGACATATATTTCTTCAAACATGCATAGGACTTCGTGAAAAGAATAGCAGTTGATGAAAGTTCCACACTTTCACGCATCGTATGCTAGAACGTTCTGTGGCCAATACGACGGCTATCGTTCTTCCCGGAGCACGGAGCATTAACCAACCAACGTTAGAGAGACACACTGTCAGTATAAATACACGGACACTCCGCTTCTTCCACACTATCAAATGGTAAACATCGCCGTCGCTGTCTGCTGTGCTGTTCTGCTACTCGTTAAGGGATGCTTCTCTCGTACGTTTCCTTTCATAATTTGGAGGTGTATCCGTTCATGATAAAATGTCATGTTCCCTCCTTTCATCTTAGTTTTTGGCGTGAAAAGAGTCTTTTGAATTTTCAAGATCCACCATGAATGCTCAATGCATCGCTGATCCACATGAATAAAACCTAGAGTAAATCCGTAGGTTTACTTTGGAAAAACTCGAGTAGACATTTTTAATGATCCGTTACTAGTGATAGTGAATTTATTGGGGCCATTTGAAAGCGCATTACCGGAAATCATTTATTATATTAATTTCCATAATTGTGTTAGATAGCGTAGACGAAATGAAACACGCCTTACATTATAAGCGCATTACGCAGCGTGCGCAGAAGTACACTATAAGCGCGTTCTACTCACTGGGAATTGTTGAACTTATTTATTTAAGCATCCAGGCTACTCCTTTGCGATTCTTGTTTCATAGTATCAATTTTTGGCTTTGTCAGGGCTGCATGCCGAATGGAAATTTCTTCAGATATTTTAAATCGAAACGCATTTTAAAATTTCACGCAATGAATAAAAAATGATTAAAAAATGATAATAACTTCGTCAGACCAAAAAACATTGTCAGAATTGAAGAAACCTTTTCAAGGTAAAAACATGAAAGAGCATAAGTTAAAATACATGGAAAATGTTATGACAAGGGTATGGTTTAAGGACAGTGTTACTCAATTCGGTAAGAAAATGTACTAAAGGAAAATAACTAGCGATATGCATTTGCACGCGGCAGATTAAGACTTTAAAGGACCTCGCGATGGGTGTTGTTCGAGGCTAGTCAGAGTGTTTGCGTCTCCGAATACTGAAAGGCAAAAATACTTCAAATAACTGGAGTGCAAATGATTCGGCCGGAGCGTGAGGCGTATAGCAGCTACATTCCCTGGACGTTCCATAACACACAAGTTTCCTTAGGAGTAAAAAGCGTATTTCACATTTTTTCCTAAATATCAAACGCCGGGATTAAAATGCACAGTTCACACGGCGATTGGTCAACCTGGGGGAACGTGGCAAACAGCGACTTGCAAAATTAACTGTCGCGTGAGGAATGGGAGTTGATCTAACATGCATGCCATCCGGACTTCCATCAGCGCTTAGACAAGAGCCGGGAGAAGAAGTCATTTATTCCACTCCATACATATAGATGATGCAGACTGCAATGAATGCAGCCTACTCACGAAAAAAGCAGCTGTAAAAATCGAAACTGTCCAACCTTTCCAGGGGAGACAACGAATGATGTTTTTTGGCGAGCCGGCAACCGCATCAGCCTGATTGAAGATGTGAGTTTTCTATGACAAGTAAACGTTGGACGATGAAGTAATTTGCGCCCCAACTGAATCAGCCATTCCGTTTAGTTAAATATGGATGTTTGGAATACGAGAAACCATGATTCACCATTGGAAGCCAGACGATACTTTCGCGTTAATCCTGATTCACTTTGGTATTAAGGACAAACATGCACAGAAAATGTTCTCACGCTAATTGGACATGTTTCACAAATATACTTTAATCCTAGCTGTCCAAATTATGCGATTGACGAATTTACTTCTGATAAGTCCTCAACACTGACCAAACATGCTGTTTTATCCCCCATCTCTAAGAAAATGACCAGCCAACTGCACTGAGGCTCGACGTACTCAGCTCAGATACAATAAGGGTAGTTTGGGAATTTCCTATGGATCTGAATCTGCAATTTGACAATTTCCGACTCAATGTCTCCGGAGGTGCCAAGAGAAGCCGGTTAGTGGGCATGGACGGTAGGGTGCTAGTCAAACATCTTACACCTTCGACGACCTACAGGATGACATTGGAGACCAAATACACTGGAACAGAGAAATACAGCCAGCCGGCGGAGGCAACTGCAACCACCTTCGCACGAGGTTCCATGTCTATTCTACTTTACTCTCAAACATGTTCTGCTGTGTATGTGCGCCTGTATTACTACTCGCACACACTCTTAGCTTTTGGATGATCTCATTAACTGATTTGACTCACGCCTCCCCTGCGCACTTTTCGATAATTGTTCTGTCCTTTGTCCGATGCAAGGAACCGACATGCCGAGAGAACTGACTGCTACGGCGCTCAGTGCCAATTCCATCAAAGTCACCTGGAAGGCACCAACGAGTGTGAATCCAGACACAAAATATTATTTTCTAAAAGTGGGCAAAAAGCACTTTGAAATCCGTTATCGGGATTTTACTGGGGAATACACGGTCGATGATCTGAAAGCCAACCGCCAGTACAATGTCGCTGTCCGCGTCGGCTACAAGAGCCCAGATTACAAGGCGCCAGCCGCCGAGACCACTGTGAAGACACAGTCCTCATGTAAGTCCGCACATGGTTTCTTATCATGAGGCAGTTATATGCACCTTATTTTTTATTAACTGCTGACCATACAATTTAATGATTGGAGAAGTATGTGCAGTTTCCTTTATGTATTAAATGACATGCATTTTTACGTCCAAACTCATGTCTGAAAAGAGCTATAATTTTGGTAAAGCGGTAGAGGATGTTTGCGTGGTGTTAGAAAAACAACCTCTTATCAAGTCAGCAGATGTTACAACAGAGCAAATTGCATCTTAAAGCATAGTGTCCACCATCAAACCCGTGGTATTCTGCTTCCAAGTGTGGCGTCAAATTAGAGTGTACACGTAGGTATACGTAGAGACCGTCAGCTATGTTGCCGATAACGTTTGAAACTAGGAAATGGCCAAGTCTACCTTCTGGTTCTAGATGAAACAATCAGTGAATTACTGGCTAATCGAAAAACCAGCGACTGCGTCTTAATGAATCAGTCATGAGCATGAATTGAAGGCCACTCGTAAAGATCAATAAAGGAATAAAGTCCAACCGCATCGCATTATATTGAGTGACATGAGGCATAGATATTGCCTCACTCATGTGCACATAGGAAAGTATTGGCGTTTGAATGCCTATTCCTCCGATTTCAATTAACGTCCCTGCATTTCTGCACACCCAAGACCCTACGATTCTTTCAATCTACCAATTGTATACGTCTGAATGCATGTATACAGAATCATGCACATCTCATGTGCGTTTAAAGTGCACTCTCATATCTGCAGGGGGAATAAGGCAGAAAGGGAAGACACTCATATTTAGAAAGACCCAGGAGTTTCAGGACGTCATTTAAGGTTTAAATGATCTGTAGCATATGGGCTATCCACCAAGCTAGTTGCACATTTCCAGACCAACAATGTAACCACTGTGATGTAATTTCAGTCATTTGTAGTGGAAAGGTTTTTAGATGGGGCCGAACGTTTGCCAATCTGCTGTGTCAAACTGTCACGAAACAGGAAACCTGACTCAGTTGGATTTTTCGGCAACTCCGAAAGCACACGGATTTCACCATATCGGAAGAGATTAGGTGGCGAACTTACGCTAGTCGCGAATAAGTAACCTCGTGTACAGTCTCACTTTACTGGTAGAGTCATTTGGTGGTGCTAGTAATGGGAACTGCTGATTGAAATACGTTTCGTATCATTTGCCATTACTCTGTGGCAGGATCATGATTCTGTTTTATTCTGTCACATAATGTTCCTTTGATTGGGCTGCGGATATTGAGGCATGTTAGTTGTAAGATGAACAATCTTGGTTACGTTTCTGGCTACAGGCCTTCTGATGCAAACAGCTTGCCGCTCTGAATTAACAATCTTCTGAATTAAATTTTGACTGTTCGTTTAACCCCAGTGCTCACTGTCTGAAACTTGTTCTCTTTTTTCTGACGCTCTTAAGAATCTTCAGGATACAGTCACAGGTGTGGTTTCTTGACATGTGAAAGACAAAAATATCGCCCTGGAGAAAATTTCCCCTTTTCTTCATTTGGGTTTCAGTACCTTTCATACAGTTCCTAGCAAAGCATCATTTTCATATGTATTCCAGAGGACAGTTGGATTTTAATCACTGCATGTTAATTTATCATTGTGGTTTAATGCATAGACCTTGCACTACTCATAATAAACTACACAATCTATGACTCTGATTGACTTTCCCTCGAACAGCAACAATAACCATTTGGGCGAGATATTCCCGTCTGAGACGCCTTGGCAATAATATCACATCTAGAAAATCGATGAGGATAGTCGTCTGAGGGCCAAAAAACAAGTTGGACTTAATTCCGCATTGATATTGCTAGGGACGGAACACCTGCGTACGCCTTAATGCTTAGGGATCTGGGTCAACACCAGCACAGGCAGCACGTTGGTACGCAAAGGAGTCATCTGGGCAGTCGTTTATTTTGGCGTCCAACTTCCATTTCGCTAATTCTCATACGGCATCCAGGATGCTGCCTTCGATAAGGGCCCACGCAAATAGCTTAAGAATCTTTGAAGCATTCAAGGTTTAGGGGTAATTTAAGAATGCATTTAAGTAGGCGAGGGAGATTGTCAAAGATACTGGAAGACGTCAGTGAATTGCTGTTAGGACATTTTCAGAGGTTACCGATTACGTGGTAGGACTGACATACATGGCTCTCTAGACAGGGCATGAGAACAGGAACCATTTGCACTAGGGGTATTATGAGCCAGTATCAGTGAAATTAAGATCAGGTTTAATCTAACGATTAGGATCAGGCTACGAATCGGGGTTAGATCTAGATGCAATTTGGACGACAAGGAAAGTCAAGATCAAGATTAGGGCTAAGGTTGGGACTAGTGTTGGCCGCAGAGTTAGGGCTTTGGGTAGGATTTGGGTCCAGATGACGGCGGTAGGATGTTATTGTCGATGTGAACAGTATGGAATCCGTCTCAGTTAATGCAATAACGTTAGGACGTAGCTCGGCCACAATTCTTCTGCGTTCTTCAAATTTGTCTAAGTGAACTGTATATTTCCGTAAAAGAACTTGATCTTTTATACATTTTTGCGAGGAACTATTCGCTTAGACGGGTGGCTTTTGTTACTATGACCTTCATTATCCATAGCAGGGATTTTGTCGCCGGACAGTCATTCCGTTCGGCATTACCAGCCCTTTCTCTGTTTGCTCATTCGAAGTCTTCAGTTCCGCATCCAGAGCCCTCCACTTCATTCTGTGTTGCACAGAGAAGTCCTGTTGAAAATAAAAATGTCTCAAAATCCGGTTACCTTCCATCCCTTTCGATCACTGGAGTGAAAGATTTATATGGATTTGCTTGATTATAATAAATGCGTCGTTAACATATCACAGGCACTGTGGACTCTACTAGAAAAACAGATATATACATATTCGACGACAAAGCCCCACCCATCGTACCGCCAGCATGTGGTCTTTGGCCTTTTTGGTAGACCGCCTCTCCGTAGAGGCCAGTTCTTTCTGATGCAAACAACTGCAGCTACTGACGATTGATTTCGCCAACCAGCTTTGTATCCCGATTAAAGTCAAAGTAAATTTCATCATAAAGCGGACCATGTTCCTCTTCGCCACTGACTGCTCCATCTTCGGGCTGACCATTAACACGAACTGAACGGAAAAAAATGTAGCCACGCATTACGTAGCACCAGAAATTTCATAAATGGAAACCGACACTTATTTGTGGGTGCGTTCGCCTAACTAGGCAGCGTCATCTCAAACGCCAGAAAGATAGACGATAAACTAGCACAGCATGTCTCCAAAGTCACTCAAGCCTTCGCCTGACAAAGAAAAGTTTCGCCCGAAGTGCCACGAATTTCAAATCAGCATGCCTTTAGGAAACAAGCACAGCAGCACGTCGTTGATCACTTATTAAAATAACTTTTTACTTCTGAAACCAGGCCTGTAGCGCATAGTCCAGAGGCGGCTGCATAAACGCTCTCTATAACCTACAAAATTGTCTCCATCTTGTTTGACAAAGGTTCTGCGTACTACCGTCAAAGTTGACGTTGCCGACACTGCGACTTCGGAATAGTGTGTTGTTTCGCTTATATCGTCCTTGGCGAATACTGTAAAGCCTTTTTGCGCATTCAAGTTTTTTGTGGTTGATTTTTTAACATATGACGTATTGAAGGTATATTATTTGCTCGTCTCGCTGACATAATGCGCATAACCTAACATTCGTCGACACGGAACTTCACGCACCAGAACGCGTCACATATCTGCAGACTTCCCATAGCCCATCTCAGTTTCCGGGAGTCTTTGTCATCTTTTATTACCCTCAGCAGTTTAAGATCATTTGCAAAGGGCGCTTTATAGGACTTCACTTTTAGGCTATAAAGGTGGATGATAAACAGGAGCGACAGGAGAACTGACTCCTGCGGGACCCAACATTTAGCAGGCGCCCATTCTGTATAGTTGTCACCCGCATGTTGTAATAGCTCCCTCTTACTGTGGATTTTATTGTACTCCCACTCTGTGGTATCGAAGTCAGATGTGACGGCACGCCTAGGTGCGGCTTCGGCCGGGCCGGCCCCACCAGTTGTTACTGATTAAAATCATGGTCATGTGTTTGTTGTGGACTAGAGGAATGTAGAGTGAAACGCCTGGGTGCGAGATCGGCTGTGCCATCCAGCTGCGCCCTTTCCCACCCCCGGTCTTCCTGACTATGTCTTGACACCAAATCCAGGTGGGGGAGGAGGAGAAAGTGCGGTAGATACTGTGCAAGTCTACTACCAAAATAAAACTAACTCATGCAAACGTCATCGTTCCTGTTCCACCTTGCTGTGGAGCAAACGGTAGACGTCATTGGACACGACAGTCGAACTATCGTGTGTAACGACTTAAAACAGTGCGTCGCCTCACCACAAGGTCCGTTTTGATTCGAGTATTCGCAAGTCAAGGCGTCGTCTTGTCGGGCCTGCACGATGCCAAGGAGAGTCCCGTCATGGATTTCGCTAAACTACGCCCAATCGTCCACCTGTGTTTAGCCTGTCCTTTATTTGCATGAGCCTGGTGCATATGGTAGCTGGCGGTTCATCTGCCTAGGCGATTGTTCTAAAGGAGCTACCGGGGATAGGGGAATCAAGAGCACCTGTTTCCGCGTAGATTGCGGGGAAGATTTTAAAGGAAAACCCCGGTGGGTTTCCAAGATCATTCTCTGTCCTCTTCCGTGCATCCTTCGAGGCCAGATGTCTGCCAGCGGACTGACAATCTACATGTTTTACACCGCTGCAAAAGAGTGATAGTCAGATCTTCGTTAAAAATTACTGTCCAGTCAGCCCCACCTCCACTTACTGTATGATTATTGCGAAAATAATTGAGCATAAATTAATGCAGCTCCTTGAATTAAATCATCTTTATTCCGATTTTCAAAATAAGTTCCGAAAAGGCAGGTCTTATGTGACAAATTTTCTCTGCTGCCTGGAACAGTGGAATTGGGCTGTCGATAGAGGACATATGGCGCATGTCATCCATATCGACTTTAAAAAGGCCTTCGACAGTGTGCCTCACCACCGCCTTCTATACAAACGTAGCCGTGCAGGAGTGCGAGGTAAGCTTCTGGTGTGGATTCGAAGCTTTTTACTCGGCCGCTCCCAAGCCGTCCACGTCAGTGACCAGCAATTTGTCGAGCTTACCGTTAGGAGTGGTGTTTCCCAAGGCTTTCTTCTTGGCCCTACACTGTTCCTCGTATACGTCAATGACTGCGCTAACGAACTGGATTGCGATGTCGCAATGTTTGCCATAAAAATCTGGAACACCATACGAAATAAAACTGACGGAGCGCGATTGCAAACAAACCTAGACCGTCTCGAGCAATGGTCGGGCGACTGACTTTTGCCGTTTAGCGTAAACAAGTGTGACTACCTACGGGTCGTTGGAACCAGTTCTCCAAACCTCATGGTCTCCAGCCTGGCTGGCATACATTTATAGGAGGTGGACGCCCATAAGGACGTGAGTGTGTGGATCACAGCCTCGCTCAAACCTTCGCTGGGCTGTTCAGAGATAGGTGATGCCCATTCTTTACCTCGTCAAACGGGCGTTCTCTTTCTTTGATAAGGACTGCTTCGCGACGGTCCTACGAAATTTGTGCGGCAGCATCTGCAGTTTGCTATTCAAGGATGAAGACCCTGGACCGCAAAAAGTATCAGCGTACTCGGAAAACTTCAACTGTCGGCAGCCAAACTTGTAAATAGACAAGACTCACTACCCTACAAAACTCGACTAGCTAATCCTGATCTCTTTCCTTTTGGTTGCAGGCAGTTACGTGGTAACCTAATACAAGCTTTCTGCATCCCGCGTAATCAGGTTTGCTGCCTAGCATCAGGAGACTTCTTCGAGCTGGCGACTACGACTAACCGAAGGGATCGCCCACTCAAACTACGTGTGAATGGTGTCAGGCTAGACACATGGAAGGTCTTCTCCAACAGAGTGGTTGCCTGATGGTGCTGTTATGTCTGCATCCGTAGAACCTATCGAAAGAAAGCTGGATCAACATCGCACGGCGCACCACAATTCCATTCGACCGCTATTGTCTTGATACCTCATAAGAACCCTTTAATACTATAATGACACTGCTGCAATCCTTCAAGTAACATTTGTCTATACAGTGTATTAGCGTATGAACCACGGCGAACGCCACTACTCTCATTCACCAACATGCTCACAGTCCACAAATCTTCTTACTTTACCTTTAACTTAGGTGTGCCTCAAATATCTACTGTATTAATCGCCAAAGCGAGTGTATACGCCTTCAAATGCTGTTATCATATAGAATACTTTGTTCATCTGTATATTTTTGATATTTTCCACATAATTCTTCCACATGCAAGAAATAGGGATTTCAAAGGTACACACCTACCTTCCTTCAAATAAACTGAACGGAAGTGAACTGCACTTTCATAAGGTCCAGTTTGCGGGCGCAGCGTTCAAATCTCTCGCATGGTCGAATGGTTTACGCTTCGCCTTTTTATGTGCTGGGTTGGGGACCCGTGCATACGGGGACAGTTATATTTCCATCGCATCGTACATATGATATTGTATAGCGTAGCTCAAATTAATATGCATTCCGAGTCGGGCTGGTTTTACCAGCTGAAAAGTTCACGAGTAAAACTCGAATTTTCCGAAGAATCCCTTCCATTTTTCGTATTGCATAATATTTAAACATAGTCTTGCTTCTTCCCGCATCATTTATTTCATCTATTATATATTTACAACGTACATATGGACACGTCCAATATAGTTTACATGGTAAAACGTCTGTAGTAATAAGCATGACATACCATGCAGAGCTCTCACACAGACATCATATTCTATATTGGGTTGTCATCTCCAGATTAATTGCCTTTTATTTTTCGTCCTTCGAAATATCCAATCAAATAAAACCTAATCGTCCAGTTTAGGCAGATTGCCATTAAATGGGAGGCAGAAAGTATCTAACTGATATACAAGGGTGGAGTTTTAACTAGTGCCACACGTTATCAAACCTTCAAACTTAACCACATTTCATATTGCCCCAACTGTGAAAAACTCAGCGCCTTCGTCGGATTTGAACCAACGGCAGTAAGCGGAAGGCTTTAGTACAGCCAGCGCTCTAACCACTTGAGCTACCAGGCCCCGCCGGACGACGCGAGTTTAATCACATTTGGGTCAAGTCACCCGATAACCGTCGAGTGGGAGGCAATAAATATCTAACCGATATACAGGGGTGGAGTTCGAACTGCCGACAAGCATTATCAGGCCTTGAAATTGAAAAATATTTCCTGCGAAATAATGGGAATCATTGTAGATAGGAGTACACGGGCGAGTCCGAGGAAGATGGGATCACGCGTAGCTGCCGAAGGGCCACGTGCGTACTATAAAAAGCAGCTCCCGTGATTAAAGTTGGGGGTCGGAGGTGAGGCACTGATGGCTCATCGGTCCGCGCCCAAGTCGTTGATTACCGCAATTTCTTCATCCGTTTTGGATGTTGGCAGGATTATAACTCGACCATTTGACTAGTTGCAACTGGGATTGTTTATCGTTCGCATCCGATCTATCGCCCTCCTCACGTGACTGAATCTCCATGTCCTGGTAATGTCTCAGCACCGAATATGCTGGAGGGGAGTCACTGCTATTGTTGATGGATTGCTGGCCTGAAAACCATTGCTCGATCAGCTCGCGAATCACGCAGTTGTCGCATTTTGCGAGGATTTCAGCTATTTAAAACTTGAAGATATGTCCGGTCCTCGTGGAATGAGTCGCCATTTTGAAGCTTACCTTCCCACCGCTGCTGCGTGCTTCGCCATGCGTGTCTAAGGTGTCTTTCCAATTTCTCCGAAGCAACTGGTCTGTTCGGATCCAGTAAAGGACTTCAGGCGTTTCCTGCTTTGGCAGCAGGTCTTTAGGCCTCATGACCCGACGCCTGGTGTCTGCTTCCGGCCTGTGTGCAACTGCAATTCCAATTGGAGTGTGAGGGCGGCTGACGGCCTCAGAAACGTTCTTCATACAGGAAAATGCTCACCAAAAATTTAATACCGGTTGGATTTGGTTTGTGGTATCGTCTGCGTATGCAGTGCTTGACAAAGTTGCGTGAGGAGCCATTGGCTCTCATTACCCATCCAGGATATTGTTATTCAGCAAGCACGTCTTACTTTTCACTGTAATGCGTCACAACAAACCGGTATATAGCCCTTACGCAGCCCAGTCCGTGACTTATCGGGTGACTACTGTTGAAGTTCCGTACTTTCGTCACATATGTCGTTTTCCTGGGCACTTTGGTTTTTAGGCAACCATAATCCTTGTGGCAAACGAGGACAGCTGATTGCTTTCTTCCTCCTGCATTGCAAATTGAGTGTCCAGGAAGACGGCGTTGAGATGTTCTTAAATGTCAGCACCTGATCCTGTTCGATGACGACGAAGTTATCATCCACATTCCGAGCCCAAACTTTCGGTCTGTGGTGTCGGAAAACCAGTGACTCCAGCCGTTTTAGACCGCCTCGATTAAGAGCCCTAAAATCGGCGCACCCATTGGCGTGCCCCTCGCCTGTTTGCTGATTGTTTCATTAAACGTAAAGAACGTCTTAATACAGAACCTCGGGGTTTGGACGATATGGGCTTGTCCTAGGCCATTTTCCGTTTCTTCGCACTTTTCTCGTAGGATTGGTTCGATGGTCTCGACTGCCAAGTCCCGCGGAAGTCAAAAGAAACGGGACACCAAAGGATACCATGACGCCGCTTGATTGGAGACTTAACGGTTTAAGTTTCCTCAAGAATTGTGTTGGCAAGCTGAATGTGGTTTTCGAATCGGAGATCAGAAACTACTCATTTTGTAGACTGCAGCGCCTATCTATATATATAAAAATGGAAGGATTTTTTTTCTGTGTTATATCTAATCTCCGAAAGTACTGCACCGATTGCGCTGAAATTTGGATACAACCCGACCCGCGCATAGGGCCGGGTTTTTGGCTGGTCAGGTGTGTAATTATGCCGATGGTATGTCTGTGATGGGTAAAAAACTGGATTTTTTTCCGGCCTAACGACGTCACCTGCTGCGGCCACTTGACCTACATCCGCGCGGACACATGTGTGCCCAGACTGCGGCCACTTGACCGACATTCGCTCAAACGCACGTTCTCCGCCCGACAGCCGCGCTCACCCCACCACCCACCCCCTGCAGACACTTGAGCAGGCCCTCCACCATCTCTGGGCCGGTAGGCAAACCACCCACCCTGCAGCAAAAAAACACGCAGCACTTGGACGCCACTTGAACTTGCCCAACACTACCCACCTAATTGGGCTGTCGCCGCTGCCTCGGGGATTCTCGGGGGGTGAGGACTGGATGCAGCTAACACCAGACCCCTTCCCCGCACAACCCACATCAGGGGCCTGTCACCCAATGTCAGCTCAGTACTGTGCAGCTCGGCTTGAGGAGGCCCGGTTGCGGTCACGGCTGCCGCGTTCTGCAGCTTCGGGCCTGCTTCGTTCACAACAGGTTGAACACAGCCAGCTGGAAGTGGCCGAATGGCGTCAGCGAGGAACAGCAGACCAGCGTCAAACTCGACTCCGTGCTCAGCATTCACGCAGCCTGATGCTGTTGTAAACGACGGTACGACAACAACCTTTGGAAGACTAATGATTTTAGGGCAACGTGATACCGGCAGTCGGAGACCGATTCCAACGCAACATCCATTTACTTATCGCGATGGTGCCGACGGATATCACTTCAACGTTCAGATGATAAATCCGGTCAGTGACGAGGTAACGCACATGAAATGCAGCACAATGAACCACGACTCCTACCGACTTATTACACGACAGAATGTAAGCAATCCCCTTTTGAAATGCCGTCAATTGCTTCATCACTGCATTGTGGATATGCATGCAAAAATCGACTCTGAACGCTTGCTTTTCATTCACTTGACTCAGACCAAGCTGCGCTCTGAAGGATACATTCCTTTGCATGATGCAGTTGTAAACGACGGTAATACAGATAACGTTGTAAGACTAACGCTTTTGTCGTCCACATACACAGAGAGTCCGCGCCATATGGTCGGGTACGCTCGAGGGGCAATTGCTTATGTTTGTCAGTACGGGGCGTCCAGACCTACTCATTACATTCACATGCAATCCAGCTTGGGGGATGTTTATCAGCTCTTACCGCCTGGGCTATCGACGGTAAATAGGTATGACATCACAGCACGTGTTTTC